AATCATTTGTATCATCTTCATAAATAGTTTCATTTCCAGAAAATGTGGGGTGGTATGTTTTATTGGGATTATATTTGCTTTTATAAAAATCATTTGGATTATTTTCATTAGTGGTGTCATTTTCAGGAAAACGTATGCTTGAGATATTTAATGATTTATCTTGAATACCTTTTCTGGGGGATGCTTCAAGTATTTTATCAATAGCTTTATATTTTATAGGAGATTGTTTTTTAATTTTTTTTGCTGGCTGTAATAAATCTTCTTCTTCAGCTTCTTTTTCATTTGGATTATTTTCATTAGTGGTGTCATTTTCAGGAAAACGTATGCTTGAGATATTTAATGATTTATCTTGAATACCTTTTCTGGGGGATGCTTCAAGTATTTTATCAATAGCTTTATATTTTATAGGAGATTGTATTTTAATTTTTTTTGCTGGCTGTAATAAATCTTCTTCTTCAGCTTCTTTTTTCACAAAATCCGTATCATATGCCATTTTTTCAAGAGGCTTTATGATTGGTCTAAAAATTTTATCTAATGTAGCATCATTTTCAGCTTTTCCCAATTTAAGAGCTAAATATTTTTTTCTAATATTTCGAGAGAGTTCATTAATTTTTTCAGTTACATTGACAGTGGTTGGTGCCATGATTACTAATGATACTAAATATAGTTGTTTTACATATTTATATTTTTATCAAACGATAACACCCATTGTTTAAACGGGAGTCTTTTATAACAGCCTGTAGTTTTTGTGACAGTTTTACAGTTTTTATAGCAGTTTTTACAGTTTTTCTATCGGTTTTTGCGATAGTTTTGCAGTATTTACAGCAGTTTTGCAGTTTTTCTAGCAGTTTTTGTGACAGTTTTGCAGTTTTTCTAGCAGTTTTTGCAGTTTTTCTATCGGTTTTTGTGACAGTTTTGCAGTTTTTCTATCGGTTTTTGTGACAGTTTTGCAGTTTTTCTAGCAGTTTTTGCAGTTTTTCTATCGGTTTTTGTAGTTTTTCTATCGGTTTTTGTAATAGTTTTGCAGTTTTTTATCAGTTCTTGCGACAGTTTTGCAGTATTTATAGCAGTTTCTACAGTTTTTCTATCGGTTTTTGTGACAGTATTTTTAGCGGTTCTACCAAGATTATAAGGTTACTTAGCAAAAAATATTAATAACAGCTTAAAGTCTATTACTGTTACTCAACTCAAAAAAAATATTAGCTACATATTTATATATTTATCAAATCCCTTTCGATAACGTCCATTGTTTAAACGAAAATCTTTTATAATAGCTAAACAACCATAATTTTCATTCCAACATTCTGAGCATATTTTCTTAAACTGATTATAAGGCATATCAGGTGAGACATGTTCATCAAATACATGTTTTAAATTCATATCATCCTGTCTAAATAGCACAATAATATTACAATTATCACGTATTAATTGTTTTGGTATTTTTGAATATGTTTGACATAAGTATGCAGCGTCTATGTTTTTATGTCTACCCATTGAATAGTATTCGCGTATTTTATTTTGTTTATCACAAGCTACATCATCAAATATGAAAATTGAATTGTTTCGAGCTTCCATAGGTTCAATTATTTCATCATTATCTTTATATGAAAAATACCCCACACCTTTTACTTTGCTTAAAACATTTTGTAATAATTGATATTTTGGTTGAAAAAGAGATTTTGAATAAACGTAAATATTTTCAAATTTAGCTCCATTAGGATTAAATATTAAACTTAATAAAGCATTTGTTTTACCACACCCACTAGGACCACAAAAAATTGCTCTAAAGGAATTTGGTAGTAAATTACCATGTTTACTAGCATCAGAACTGGTTTCAAATAAATCTAAATTATTTATAGGTAGTTTTTCGGGTTGTTGAACGCAACGCATTTTAGGTACTACTGAACTCAAATAGTTTTGTTAAGGAATATATATTAAAGTTTATTCAATTAATTTTACAACAGCATGTTATTTTTGGCAACTTATTTAACACTTTGTTAGCTTCTTTCGTATAAATTGAAACCATACAGCATGGGCATGTATCAGGACCTTCATCTGAATTTGACCAGGGGCACGACTCAAAATGTTTACCATATTGGGTTTTTACAACATTAGCATTAAGATGTTGCTCCAAAAATTCTTTTTGACTGGTCCATTTTTTAATTTTTTCCTTTTCCAAAAATTCTCGATATATTTCCTGTCGAGTAGGATATTTATTTTCAAATTTTTCTTTATTCTTTTTTTTACTACATTCTTCCAAAAATTTATCAATATTTTGGATTGCCTTTTCAATTTCCTTTACACTAATCATTTTACCCACCATATTATATGTTCTCCTGTTTAAAATGTTGTTATTATAAGGTCGGACGGGAGACTGAACGTCTAAAAATAAAAATTTACAACAAAATAATAAATCCTTATCTCCAAATAACTGATTACCGCATTAAAACCCCCGAAACTTGTCGAACAACAAGTCGGATGACGTCAGCAATTCAAAATGGCGTCAAAAATGAAATTTACAACAAAATAATAATAAATCCTTATCTCCCCCCGGATATCAAACCACTGCAGCAAATGCATATCGCTTATCTTTTGCATCTCCAGTAATACCAAACTAATACGCTAACCACAAACAACCAATATGCATATCGCTTATCTTTTGCATCTCCAGTAATGCCAACTAAACACCTAAGCCCCGCCCACTTTAAACCACAACACCAATAGCTAATATCTATCAAACATGGCCGCCATCCGCCAGCCGCCATCCGCCAACAACCCACCAATAGGCTCACTTACGCTTATCAGTTGAGGGCGTTGCCCAAATGCCTGCCCACCAATAGCTAATATGATCACCCCCCACCACCCACCAGGGGGGCGCCACCATCGAGAACCGCCTACGTCACGTAGCGTCTGGGTCACTTCCGGTCCCGTATCGGCTTAGTATATCTACTCGTTTTCTTATGCTATAATAAAGATTTGGACATTTTGTATCTTAATTCAACAAAGAAATGCAGTAAACTATCTTATAAGTTAAATAAATCATTTAATACCTACTGCTTTTTATAAAAATGTGGTTTATGCTAATTTACCACAAATTTCTTGTTTAGCAGTTACTGCCTTTCTCCATAGTTGGGCAGTATACAACAACTGCCTGGGCAATTAAAATTGTTATCACTGCACTAACATATAAATGTTTATCTTTCATATTTACACACAATGGGTAAAACGCAGAATATAAACAAAAACAAATATCAACCATTTTAGGTGTCATCGCGCATGGTTTCGGAATTTTACACGGAAATCTATAATTGATTTTTACAAGACGCACAAATCGTACAGGCACGACTACGGGAGGAAGGAAGGAAGGCAATCTATAATTCAGGCTTAATACTTCCTGGGTAAACATTAAATTTTCTTAGTTTCTCTAAAAAACTTTCTTGACCCATTACTGGTATTATTCAAAAGGGTACGTCTTTAGACGGTGTGGATCACGTGATCTCGCCTCTGTTGGTTTACTTGAGCAGTATATAAGCTCAGGTAGTCTTTTGTTTTTGGTGTGTTCCACTACACCAAGTTTCCAGATGATGGGACCCAATATAGGTCGAAACAGCTGTCTGTCGGTATTTGAAGTTGGTGGAATGCACTCCAAACAAAAACTCTGTCGAGGTGAAGGTTTATTTCTACTTCTATAGATATTTTTTATTTGAAGAGCTACAAGGTCTGTTAAACTAGAGAAAATTTTCGTAATTACAAGCCATAAAAATACCAAAAAAATCGTTATAACTCCTGAGAATTTGGAAAAACACACAATAATTATCATTTTTACTCAATATCTTCCCTACTATATTTTGAGTTACCATCACCAACTTTGTTTTTTATAATAGCTGTCATACATCGTTGGATTCCTTTTTTTTCTATCTATCCATGTGAAATTCCAATATGACGATCATACGAAAAACAAAATATTGGCGGCGGTAACTCAGAATCTAGTAGGCCAAAAACGGTTTTAAGTTTTTTTTTTAATTATTTTAGAAACGGTTATTTTTTAAAATTTTTAAATGCCATTGACCCGACCTTGTATCTCTTAAAAAATAATAAATATTCTATCTCTTCAAATAAATAATAAATAGAATGATATTTGGTGCTCCGTGTGTATAATTATTTTTTAGTTAATTTTTTTTAATTTTAAAATATTTAAAAAAGTTGAAAACAATTTATTATCAAATCTTTTTATATATTCTTTTCGCAATAAAGGTAAAACTTATTTCAAATTCCATTTGTTATAAATTTGTTAATAATTGTATTTTATATCTAAAAATGTAAAATAATACAATGCGCGTCAAAATTAACGCATAATAAGTAAAAAAATTCTAACTCTAAAACGCCTTTACCAATCTTTATGAAATTTTGTATAAGAATGGCAGTGTATAATGATCAAGGAAGGAAAATAAATTCGGTAAAATATAATTTAAAGTTTTACTCATAAATTGAGAAAAACTATTCAAAATCAGTTCCAAGAAGATCAACCTATAGCACAGTGGTCGAAAAATGGAAAAAAGCTGTCCAGAATTAAAAAAATCATTTTTTTTTTCGTAAAACAAAATACAGTATTCTATAAAGAACCTATTTCTGCACCAACTGCCAAAGCAGCCCAACTTGTACAATAATGACGAGACTGATGTGGAATATCCGGGTGATGTGGATGTATTTATAAATGAAGATTCTATTTGAGAAAATTAATTTAATTAATTTGATATTTGTTTTTTTATTTTGTAACCTTTTGTAACCATTTTGTTTTTTACTATTTTGACCTCAAAATCTTGGACCCCAAAAACACAAAGGTATTTATTTTTAAATAAATTCGCTCTCTATTAAAATTTTGGCCAGCTTTTTATGTTTCCGACCACTGTGTATAGGTTTGTTAAACACAATAAAAACATATATTTGCTAAAGCTTTTTTAAATCTATCATAAAATCCAATAAAACCCAATCATACCGACCTAATATCGCCACCACCTCGTCGTCTTGTATGACCTCCAGGCTACCGGTGACGATGAAACAAAGCGAATCGATGGACTCGCCGGTGTGGTAGAGCAGATCGCCCGGAGCGCTGTGCGACATGGTAAAATGCATCGCGAGCGCCCTGAGACAGCCGTCCGACGCCAACCGGAAGGCCGGATGTTCGTTGAACACCTTCCGGTTCAAGTGGACGCAGATGTCCGCCTTCATGTCCTTCGGGCAGAAGTTGAGCACCTTAAAAGCAAAAGATGATGAGTAGGTGTTACATTTTTATGACGGTATTTTGTGGACCTGGGAATGTTATTATGATGTTTTTATTTTTTTTTGCGATCACTAGTCTAAGTAAAAAACAATATAAGAAAAAATATTATATTATATTGTAATATGTAATATTATGTTGTAATAACCATTGAAAGTTCTAAACCATTAAAAAAAATTAATAAAAAATTAAACTTTGGTAGTTGTCGTGGTACAATATTGTCAAAAAATTTTAGATTATACGCACCGTAAAAGTATACGAGCTTGTAGCTAAGTGATTCATAATTTGTTCGCAAGACTGTACCGTGGAGACGTTACCTTTACGTAATACTTTCAAATATTTTCATAACTTTTAATCCGGCAACGTCGCTTATGCTCAACCAATAGATATATTGGAGACTGAATCAGTCCGTTTTTTTTTACAAATTGTTGAACTTTAAACGGTTATTTATAAACAATTGGACGGTCAAAAATTTTTAATTATTTTTTTTACTCAGCAAAAATACATTAAAACACTGTTAGTTTTTTAAAAGCTTCTGACAGTTAGTTTTTTCTGTATAACTAAGAAACTGGTACAGAACTAAATAAAGCTTATACAATCCATGTTAATTATTCAATTTTTAATTGAATTTATCTCGGGTTATAGACGGTCAATCGACTTTAAATTTTAAGGATAATTGTATTGTCATGTCCTTAATAAGTATACAAAAATGATGGTATGCTTATAGCACGACAACTACCTTAATAAAAAATTCCCAACAATGAAATTAATGTTTTTTTTATAGTTCATACACTAAGAAGCATTCGGGTTTTCGCAATTTTCTGGTGGTGTTCGATAGCGGTATGTGAATTTAGGAATTGCCAACAATACATTTAAAGCCTACAAACTGTACATTATTTTTAAATAAATAAGTAGTTTTTTCACAAAAGAGAGGAAGTCTTACTCGACAAATTTTGTTCAATTCCACAGCTAAATCGCTCACGTTGTTTGTGTTTTGCTTTGCAAGTAAAAACTAAAAAAAAAAATGGTTTAGTACTCGATTTCAATTAAATATTCCTTATATCATTGATTAAGAAACTCAACGCTTGTATGCTTATATAGTTACGTTAGTATGTGACCATAAGCAGCTGTTTGAAAGTGCTACAAAGAAATCAAAATTTCATGGTATGTTGAAGTAACTTTTTCATCGCAATATTGTTCATTCCTGAGAAACTACTGGGGAATTAAAGAAAACTTAGTTTATAATAGTGATCCATATTAAATGTGCTTCAAACCTTCCCTATTGGTTTACCAATGCTATTGCATGGAAAAATGTTACGAGGTGATTTCCTGTCTAGCGACATTTGAGGTAATAAAGACCACTTAATTTGGGGCAAGCAGGACCGTGGATGATTTATGTATTTATTGTGAAACTCCGTACAAAGAGAGTAAAGTTGGAGGAGACTGGGTCCAGTGCACAAGTTGTGAGCAATGGGCCCACGAAGAATGAGCGGGGGTAGAAGAAGATGACTTATTCATTTGCGAGCTGTGCGAATAATTTTTAAATTTTCAATTTGTGCAGGGCGCAACAGAATTTGCTTCTTTTGTTTTTATTTGATTAATTTATTTAATAAATTCGTTAAAAACTATGAAGAGGTATTATTATTAATGCGTGAAGGTGTTTCAAATGGTGGACCTTCTTGCCCCGATACCCGGGGCATGGAGGACCAATGTAATAAAAGTCTTTTTTTTGTCTTTACCAAAAAATGTTACAACATTTATTTCGGTTTTGTAATAAATTAGTTAGACCATATTATATAGGTTTTGGAAAAAATTGCTTATGTCTATTCTTTCATATATATATAGCTGAAATATTAAAAAATGCTTATGCGGTCTTCGCTGCCCCGGTCTCCCCTATATTTGTTGGTGCAGAATTAACTAATGATAATATTACCTAATATAAATTATTTTTAAGTTTGGATATTTTTAAGAAATCTAACAAAAAATAATTTTTGTTCAAACATAACCTTAAAATTAAATATTTTTATATATACAGGGTGTCCCAGAACTCGCGCCACAGAGAAAAAGGGAACGCGCCGAAAGTAACACGAAACACATATCGCACATGGGCGACAACAGTGTCATAAGTAGTAAAACGATAATTCCGATATAAGTTAACGTAAAAGATTTTTGAATAATAAAAATCTGACATTTTTGTAAAATTATATTAACTTACACTGTAAGTTAATATAATTTTACAAAAATGTCAGAATTTTATTATTCAAAAATCTTTTACGTAAACTTATATCGGAATTTTCGTTTTACTACTTATGACACTGTTGTCGCCCATGTGCGATATTTGAAAATTAAAATTGTCTAACGCAAAGGATAAGCGAGATAAGAATAAAAAACGATAACCAATCCCAATAGATGGCCATAGGGAATTCTTTAAATTGCTAGGATACTTAGGTTGCATTGTTAATAATAAAAAATCTGTAAAATATTTGGTCGACTGGAATTTAATTCATTGTAAAACTGCTGTTAATCTTTACTCCTGTCATTAATATTATATTAGGTTTTAAATTAAGTTATTATTGACAATGCTGTCAATCTTTACTTTTGTCATTAATATTGTATTAGGTAATAAATTAAGTTATTATAAATAATGTTTTCCTTGATGATTATACCGAAATGATAACTATTTATGGGGAGCGTGGGCGCAAAAAATCTAAATAAAGTACAACTGGTTTGATTTTTTACTTTAAAACATTGGCGTTCTGAAGTATCAGTCATAGATTAATAACCTTATTTTTTGAAAGCTTTTGACAACTTAGTAAATACAGTTGGCCAAAAGATTTTTAAATGTTTTTAAGACAACAATGTTCCATCGTCTCCTAGCAATTTTTAAAGCTCCTACGTTTAACATAGGCGAGATCTCTCGGTATTGGCTGCCGCTTTTTTGCTCTCATTCGATTACACTATTACCTAGAAATTTTTTAAGTAAAAAAACGGCGACAACTAAATTTTAAACGAATGCATGGCAACGTAATATTAAATTATAATACATAATATAATACCGGTTATTGGTATTTTACTGTTAAGTGAAGACTTTCTTAATCCTGCCCCGGTCCAGAAGGGCCACCAAATCTTAAGTCGTCTTTCTCAGTCCAATAAAAAATAGCCAAAATTTGATGTATGTATAGATATAAATAGTTTTACTATAAAATAAATAAACTAATTAAAAAAATGCGGAGATTTCGAGTTTCTAAAAAATAACATGCTATGAAAAAAAAACAAAATTTTAAGTCAAAACTAAAAGATTTTGGATCTTGGGAGCCCCTAGCTGCAATTCATCAGGAGTTGGAAAAAAGGTTGTAACTACATTAGATAATGGTTAATCTTCGACTGCCATAAGTGATTTAGAAATTTAAATTATTAGCAAGTTTAAATATAAGTATACTGTATGTGTATAAGTTCGCTGGAAAAAGCTTGTAATCAATTTTCATATCGCTGATCAATCAACCAATAAGAGTGTTGCGAAGGACTTGTTGAGAGGATCTGCTAACCAATTTCATAGGTAGACTAGGGGCCCCATTTTATTTTACCATCCATGGGCCCCTTAGTCCGCTACTTTTCAGATGACTTATTTGTTTACAATTTTCACGTAAATCATTACTAAAATTTGTATATATTGTATCTAATAGGTACAATTTATATTTACAGGGACTGTATGCAACTTATTCCTTTATTCGGATTTCCTCTGTTTATTTGGAAACCGGTAAATAAAAACTCAACCCAGGATTTCCTTTCGAATAACACCCAACACAACAAATCGTGCCATGTTTTTTTTGTTGATATTTTTAAATTTTCCGGCTTTATTCCAAATACACTTGTTTGTACGAGTAACATACGTGTTTGACTGCTGATTATTAAAAATTGAATTCGGGTGACGATGATGACGGCCACGTGGTGGCGCTTTTATAAACGTCATTTTAGTTACGAGTTTAATTAAGCGCAAGCGAGTGTCTAGAGAAGTTTATAAACGCGTTGCTTACTATAAAGTCTTTATCTACGACGAACACAAAACAGAATTTACAGCCAATTTTATTTGTTAAACATTTGACATATGTCAACTGTCACCCGAATTTAACCTCAATTTTTCCCGATTTATAATAAAGCTAACTTCAGCCCGTGACTAAAAAGCTTAAGATGCACTGTTTCTAACTTTAGCCCGTGACTAAAATGTCATAGCTCACAGCTCGTCAGTGTTGAAGTAGATAATAGTAAATTATGTATCAAGTTTGATAAACGCCATTTTAGGCACGAATTTAATTTAGGCATGAGCGAGCTTGCGAGCGAGTGTCTAAATAAATAAGTGTCTAGAAAAGTTTATAAACGAGTTTTTCTACGACAAATACTTAATATTATCTAAAAAATGATATAAATTAAATATTTAAGCCACATATACAGGGTGAGTCAGAAGTAGGTGCATTAATTTAAGGAGGTGATTCTACAGATTATTATTTTCTACCTAAAAATAATAGTTTTTATTGGCATATTATACATCATTCGAAAGGTAATACATTAAGAAAGTTTTTTAAACAATTTGCACGCAAAGTGTATAGTGAAATTAAAAAAAAATCCTGATGAACTTAACAAGTCTTCCAAATTCGCGAATAAAATTTTATTTTATACTGTTGTTCTGATGGCTTTTTTGAAAAAACTATTACTATGTGGCATGTACCAATGTATGGGCTAACTACTAAAAAAAGAATCGTTTAATTAACTTTAATTCTTATCGAGAAATTTAAAAAAATGTAATCCTGGACACGATTTTTTACCAAAATCACAAAAAATCAAATAACTCCAAAACTAATAACTTTTGGATAAGGCAATATGGGGTTCAAACGACTCAAAATAATCTGTTGAATCACCTCCTTAAATTAATGCACCTACTTTTGACTCACCCTGTAGGTATATACAAAAATAAAGTAAC